AATTACTGGATGGATAAAACAAACCTTGTAAATGAAAAATTAATTGACGGAAGATAAACAAAAGGAAATGATCGATTGTTGCCTCTTAATTTTCTATATTATTTTTTATGAATGTACCTTTTACACTATGATACGATTAGTCTGTATCTATGAATGAAACGAGTATTATGAGAGGCTTCACCTGAGACGAATTTTTTCAAGCAAAAAGTGCAGGGATGAACGATGAGAAAAATAAAATATACGGACAATTTTAGTAAAGACAGATGAACCGAGATGAATTAGCGTGTCACCCATGTCGAAAACATAATGTTATTTATTTTTCTCTATTATATACATACAACTGATACAGCTGGATCTTTCGGTGATCGTTCTTCAAATTTTGTTAACATGACAATTTCAGTTACATTATGCTGTACAATCATTGACCAAAAATCTTCCGTTGTATTTGGTAAGGGAGCTTGGCACGCAATGTACTGTGAATCAGAATTATATCCCTTAAAATGATGTATACTTAAATTAATAGACGAAAACATAAAATGAATTGGCCTACTTTGATTATATTTGCGTTGATATAATCATGATCTCTGGTTGGATCACTCAATTTGATTGCGGTTCTAGACCCTACAAAAGCAAAAAAGCATGTGCTTCGCTTAAGTTCTAAAATTTTTCTTTTGAATGAAACAGCGTACATTTTCCACGAGACGGAATGTCTGCATATCGATCATACTTCATATATTCACTAATTTTATCTGGATTCTCGACAACTGGAGATATAGAAGCTAGTTCCTAATCAATAAGATAAGATAGATCGATTAGATGTTCTACAAATAATATTTACTTTTTCGTATTCGGTGTATATCTGTTGTACATCGTCTTCTGTTAGATTTACATATGCTGCTAGCGATTTTGGCCTATCGAACAAAAATAAATGACGATAATCCGTTTATAGCAGACGCTCCTGTTCGATCACAATTACTTCATCGTTTGAATCTTGTATGGTTGGGCACGTGCAGAAATTCTTAATAAAGTATTCTTGACAATGTTTTGTCGAAGAATGAATGTAAGATATAAGCATCTTACGGTTCTAAAGGACGATCTCTGAAGTAAAAATAAACTCGATCACAACTACTATTCTAGTTTAACTAGACTAAATAGGCCTACCGTGTACGTTTGCGCTTCTTATTTATCATTGTTTTGATTTGTTTCCGCTTCCATACAGCAAGACCGATACCAGCAGGTATTAGGAGGGCTATTAAAAGTAATAG